GACAAGTTAGGGGCACCTGGGTGGCTCCATCGGTTAAGCGTCCGACGTCGGCTCAGGTCATGATCTCACCGTTCCTGAGTTCGAGCCCCGCGTCGGGCTCTGTGCTGACAGCTCAGAGCCTGGAACCTGTGTCAGATTCTGTGTCTCCCTCTCTCTCTGCCCCTCCCTTGCTCAAGCTGTTTCTCTCTCTCAAAAAATAAACATTCAAAAATTTTTAAAAAATATAATAGTGACAAGTTAGAAAAGATGTTTCAATGTGAGGTTGAAATCATAAAGAGGGAACCTTCAAAAGCCCTTCTGCTCAAAGTGTGATCCATAGAGCAGCATCACCCACTAGAAATACAAGCTCTCAGGCCCTGCACACATACTGATCAGTATACTGAATTTTAACAAGACATATAGATGACTCACTTTATCTTAGTGTTTGAGGTTAAGCACACTAACATAGTGGCTCTCAACGCCAGCTGCCAATTAGAATCACCTGGAGAGGGGCACCTGGGTGGCTCAGCTGGTTAAGCTCCAATGTCAGCTCAGGTCATGATCTCCCAGTTCTTTAGTTCAAGCCCTGCATCAGGCTCTCTGCTGTCAGCATGGAACCCATTTTGGATCCTCTGTCTCCCTCTCTCTCTGTTTCTCCCCTGCTTGTGCACATGCACGTGCTCTCTCAAAAATAAATAAAACTTTAAAAAAAAAAAAAAAAAGGAATCACCTGGACAGTTTTTAAGAAACACTGATACTTGCTCACCATCCCCAGATGTTCTTTTAGTTGGTCTGGTAGTGGGACAGTGATCGTTTTACACAGTTTCCAAGTGATTTAAATATGCAGCCAGGAGTGAAAAACATCATTCTTAATACATGATAGAATCCTCCACTCAAGTAAACTAAGAAAATATCCCTGGCAAAACCAAACAGAAGGCATGTTTCAATCTGGCCCCCAGAAGGGAGAGCTCTGCATTGTGATTAATGACTGAGACACTATTGAAAAGCATACACATCGCTTAACAGTGATCCGACAAGCCTTAAGGGGATGTGTGCTGGCATTTTGAAGCAAGTATCTGAAGATGTCAATACTCATCTGACAAACTGATGGCTGAGTCTTGTGGAGACAGACACAAAAATCATTATGAAAAACGAAGAGAGAGATGGCTTATTAAGATAGTTTCCAAGGATTTTGATCTTCAGATCATTAACTATGACAACACCTGGGCATGTGCTGCTAATCATCTCATGAAGGATGAAAGAAACATTTTTGTAAAAGTTAAATAGGAGTTAATTTGTCCAATGACAAAGTGGACTTCCAGGTTCTTTATTCAGAGATATTGGCTTCCAAAAGAGCTTCACGGAAACCAACTAGAGGCAATTGTCAACAAGGCAATTGATTCAAGAATACTGAGGACGCAGATCAGGCCATCCTGCTATATAGCTAAAAGTGAAAGATATAAAGCTTAGACTGCTCATGACAACAAAGGCACTTGTGATCTCCCAACCAATGAATGTGAAACAGCAAAATCGGACGGGATCTTAACCCATAGTTGTGACACAACAGCAACTCTTGCTTTGCTAATCGTGCAGCTAAAGTTCCACATCATGACAACGAGAGTTTCTCTCCTGAAATCTGATGTCTGGTGTGACAAGATCCATATGTACTATTCCCGAATTTTATGGATAGCAGTATTCCCACATGCATCTCATACTGATATTCTCTTTGTGAGGTTGTCCCCAGAAGTACTGTTCCATAGGACTGGATGTATATGGTTCCCAATGTTTTCTCGACAAATATGTTTGTTTGAAGAATTACAAAATTGATCGATAAAGAATCAAAATGAAATTTGTAGGAAAGAGATGAAAATATCCAAAGAAAACTGGAAGACAGGCATTATGAATGCTGAGATGTTTACTTTTACGTGTCAATTTGGCTAGACCATGTGTCCAGATATATGATTAAACATTATTGTGGGCATTTCTATGAGGGTATTTTTGGACGAAATTATCAATGGATGTTGAGTAAGGTAAATTGCTCTCTATAATGTGGGTGGGCTTCACCCAATCAGTTGAAGCCCTGAACAAAATAAAAGACTGATTTCCCCCAAGCTAGAGAGAATTCTTGCTAGCAGACAGCTTACATGGGTCTCCAGCTTTGCACCTCACTGTGCAGGTTTCAGATTTGCCAGCTTCTGTAATCATGCAATCATGTGGGTCAATTCCTTAAAATATATATACATGTGCACACATGCATACACCCCCATTGGTTATGCTTCTCTGGAGAACCTCGATCAATACAGAGAGCAAGTATAGCAGAAGGGAAAAAATGTTTTCACGTAATCTTAGTAAGAAACAAAGGAGCCAAGTACCAGGAGTAATAATTTGGAATTTAAAGGTCCATATGCCAATCCATAGAATGTAGTAATAAACGAATCTGAATTTGAAGGGTTTACTCTTAGTCAATGGCATCACTGAAATGATGGCATAGAACTTAAAATGGTAATATGACACAATCAAATGTAGGTTTATAAAAAAATCAAGAAAATTATTCATATGCAAAAATAATTACTGGTTAAGAAATGAAAATTCTAAAGCAAAAAAAAAAATGTTACTCTGTTTCTTCATCTATAACAAAATGAATTTCTTTTTTTTTTCTTTTTTAGCCAGATAATTTCTAAGACTTGATCTGAGAAGACAACATAAAGGAGTAGATTGATACTTTCTTGAGAGTTGATCAGGCTTTCTTGATAGTTTCAAGGCTACAGGTATTTGTGAGGCCCACGTGAAGCAGGGAAAGTCTGGAACATTCAATGTACCATCTAAATGCTATGGCCCCACATCATATGATATAGGGGATCTGTGTAAATATCCCTTTGCCACATATTTCTCACGTGTATTTTCATTACTTGTCTTACAACAACTTCTGTCATATTTTATTATATTAGAGTCCCTTTACAAAGCATATTAATCATTACTTTATCCCTTCACAAATCTTTTGATATTCTCTCAAATAACTCAGTTTTTCCTTCCATCATCCATAGTAATTAGAAATTTTTTACAAGCGTTGGAGACATTTTATCAACTGTAATTTTCTTTTTTTGAGAGGGAGATAGAGTAAGCCATGGAGAGGGGCAGAGGGAGAGAGGGAGAGAATCCTAAGCAGCTGTCATGCCCAGCCTGGAGTCAGACGTGGAGCTTAATTCCAGGAACCTGGGATCATGACCTGAGCTGAGTCAACAAGAGTTGGATACTCAACTGAATGAGCCACCACGTGCCCCTCAACTGTAATTTTAATACTAAATTTAACTTCTGTTTCTGACCGGAGAGAGCAAGACAGAGTCACTCATGTCAAGCAGTGACACAGGTCAAGCAGTGGCACAAGCAGCCAAGGGTGTTGAGCTAAGACTAGATGTGGCTGAAACCAGCACGGGCTGACAACACACCCAGAACGGATAACCAGCAGTACCAGAGGAGGTCTGCAAAGGTCCAAGACTGATTAAACTCCTTTAAAAATGGGGGATTTTTGCAGCAAACTGCCAGACTTTCTGGATGCTGACCTTTTCCTGTCTGACCACATCAAAAAAAGGCAACTGCTGCCAAAGGTTCTGCCCAAGTGATCTCTGAGCAGAACAGATCCTTCACTGCTGGCACGTAATAAGCAGCAAGTGCTGAAAGCTGACTGGGATCTGACCAAGACCTCATCTCAACTGTTATGCTCATGATTGGTTCATTAACTTCCCACATCCTTGTTCTATCTTGTTTCTTGTGTGACTTGTCTCATGCTTTGCTTTGTGTGAGGTGTAAGAAGCCAATTTATTTTTTTTTTAAATTTTTTAAATGTTTATTTTTTAGAGAGTGAGATAGAGCACAGATAGGGGAGGGGCAGAGAGAGGGTGGGAGACACAGAATCTGAAGTAGTCTCCAGGCTTCGAGCTGTCAGCACAGAGCCCAACGCAGAGCTCAAACCCATGAACCATGAGATTATGACCTAAGCCAAAGTCAGACGCTTAACTGACTGAGCCTCCCAGGTGCCCCTGTAAGAAGCCAATTTAAACACGAGGTCATTGGGTTTGGAATACTGAACCTGCTTTACAATTATGTTAACCTTACTTTATGACTGAATACAGCTGACATTGTGGAAAGATGTTAACTTGTGGGTGCACCTTCACAGCCTGCTCCAACACTGATCAATTAGTTTCTCTCTCTCTCTCTTTCTTTCTTTCTTTCTTGATTTCTCTTTTTTTTTTTTTTAACATTTATTCATTTTTGAGAATGAGAGAGACAGAGCATGCATGGGGTAGGGGCAGAGAGAGTGGGAAACATCGAATCAAGAAGGAGGCTCCAGGCTCTGAGCTGTCAGCAAGAGCCTGATATTGGCTTGAACTCATGGACCGTTAGATCATGACCTGAACTGAAGTCAGACACTTAACTGACTGAGCCACCCAGGTGCCCCTGACCAACTAGTTTCTTTGAGCATTACATAAACCAGGCCTTCAAGTCAATGTTCTTAAATGATGTTTCTTCCTGGAAGAAAGCTGTCTACACATGAATTTACCAAGCTTTTGTCACACTACAGAGCTGTGACATAGACATTGAAATAACACTTTATGTCCCATACATCAATTAAAAGTATCCATTTCTTCCCTAAAAAAACATTTTCCATGTATCCCTGGGGACTAGCGTAGTGACTAGAGGTCACCGTTTGGTAATTTCTGTATTCTGTGTTGCTTGTACACATAAGCATACCATTGATATCATAATACAGTTTTCTACAGATACCAGCTTCTGGATGTTAATAAATTACATTCCTTATTTACCCTTATAGATACTTTGTCCTTTTATGTTTCTTAACCACAAACAAAGCAAATCTATAGTACTTGGGCCATTAGTTAAAATCGTAAAGGCACGACTGTCCAGTGGTAACCAAATAAACGTGTGTTTGTTCTTTGGTCAGTTACAGATGGAGACAACAAAAGATAGAGAGGACACCAGGTGGAGTTGTCACATCAAGGAAACTTTATTTGCAGCAAATAAGGAGATCATGGGATGTGTCTTCCTAGTGGTGCTCTGGTGGGAAGGGCGAATCCCCAGGAGCAGATAGTGAGGTCTGAGTGGTCCTCAGGCCACAAGGGAATAGGCGGTTCCCCTGTTGGGAAGACATTTGGTAGAGGTTGTCATCAAGACAGTATGGTATTGGCACAAAAACAGACACTCAGATCAATGGAACAGAATAGAGAACCCAGAAATGGACCCACAAGCATATGGCCAACTAATTTTGACAAAGCAGGAAAGAATATCCAATGGAATAAAGACAGTCTCTTTAGCAAATGGTGCTGTGAAAACTGGACAGCTACATGCAAAAAAATGAACCTGGACTACTTTTTTACACCATACACAAAAATAAATTCAAAATGGATGAAAGACCTAAACATAAGACAGGAAGCCGTCAAAATCTTAGGGGGGAAAGTAGTCAAGAACCTCTTTGACCTTGACTGTAGCAACTTCTTACTCAACATGTCTCCAGCGGCAAGGGAAACAAAAGCAAAAATGAACTATTGGGACCTCATCAACATAAAAAGCTTCTGCACAGTGAAGGAAACAATCAGCAAAGCTAAAAGACAACCGATGAAATGGGAGAGGATATTTGCAAATGACATAACAGATAAAGGGTTAATATCCAAAATCTATAAAGAATTTATCAAGCTCAACACCCAAAAAGCAAATAATCCAGTGAAGAAATGGGCAAAAGACATGAATAAACACTTCTCCAAAAAGACATCCAGATGGCTAACAGACACATGAGAAAATGTTCAACATCACTCATCATCAGGGGGATACAAATTAAAATCACAATGAGATACCACCTCACACCTGTCAGAATTGCTAAAATGAACAACTCAGGCAACAACAGATGTTGGTGAGGACAGGGAGAAAGAGGATCTCTTTTGCACTGCTGCTGGGAATGCAAGCTGGTGCAGCCACTCTGGAAAATAGTATAGAGGTTCCTCAAAAAATTAAAAATAGAACTGCCCTACGACCCAGCAATTGCACTACTAGGAATTTATCCAAGAGATATGGGTGTGCTGTTTCGAAGGGGCATATGCACCCCAATGTTTATTGCAGCACTATTGACAATAGCCAAAGTATGGAAAGAGCCCAAATGTCCACCGATGGATACATGGGTAAAGATGTGGTGTGTGTGTGTGTGTGTGTGTGTGTGTGTGTGTGTGTGCGCCTATCTATATACCGGAGTATTATATATATATACACATATATATATGTACATATATATATGTATGCACATATATACACACATATGTACATATATATATATGTACACACACGTATACATATGTATGTATGTATTACCCAGCAATCAACAAGAATGAAATCTTGCCATTTGCTACTATGTGGATGGAACTAGAGGGTATTATGCTAAGTGAAATTAGCCAGTCAGACAAAGACAGATATCAGATGACTTCACTCATATGAGAAATTTAAGATACAAAACTGATGAACATAAGGGAAGGGAAGCAAAAATAATATAAAAATAAGGAGGCGAACAAACCATAAGAGACACTTGAATACTGAGAACAAACTGAGGGTTGCTGGAGGGGTTGTGAGTGAGGGGATGGGCTAAGTGGGTAAGGGGCATTAGGAAGGGCACTTGTTTGGATGAGCACTGGGTGTTACACATAGGGATAAATTACTGGCATCTACTCCTGAAATCATTGCCGCACTATATGCTAACTTGGATGTAAATTTAAAAAATAATTAATTAAAAAAAATGACACAGATACAGAGGACAAGGTCTGAGAGGACCCTAAGAAGAGGAGCTTCTGTCACCATGGAGAGGAGTCAGTGACCCTCCTGGTGAGGAACTGTCTGCCAGCCTGCAAGCTCTCCATACCCTGTCCTTTTGGATTTTTATGAAATTTCATTACCTTGGCATGATTGATGACATCATTGGCCATTAGCTTTTTTTTAAAAAAAGTTTTAAGTTTACTTATTTTTGAGAGAGACACAGACAGCATGAGTCTGAGAGGGGCAGAAAGAGAGGGAGAGAGAATCCCAAGCAGGCTCCGCACCATCGGCACAGAACCCAATGCTGGGCTGGAACCCAGGAAAGCATGAGATCATGACCTGAGCTGAAACAAGAGTCAGATGCTTAAGGGTCTGATTTAGTCACCCAGGTGCCTCTGCCTATTAGCTCTTGATTCAATTCCTAGCTCCTCTCCCCTTGCCAGAGGTTGTGGGGGTGGAGTACTGAAAGTTCCAACCCTCCAATCACGTGATGGGTGCCCTGGCAACCAGTCCCCATCCTTAGGTAACCAAAGGGCTTTCTAAAGGTCATCTCATTAACATAACAAAAGACATCTCGATCACTCTTATCACAGGAAATTCCAAGGATTTTAGGAGTTCCATACCTGTAACCAGAGACTAAATATATATGTCTTATTATAAATCACAATATCACACATTCCTAGCTTCTGTGGTTTTGGAGTGGTGGTGGCGGTCCAGAGCTGATGCCCAGGAAAGAGTTCTTGAGACATCTTCCATACAAAAAGGTGATTTTGTTAAAGCACAAGGATGGACCTTGGGCAGAAAGAACTGTGCTGGGATTGTGAGGAGTGACTGATTATATACTTGGGAGCTGGGGGAGGTTATGGCCAAGGTAAGTTTCCAAAAGAACTTTCATATGCTGAAGACGACTCACAGGATCCTGGAGGCCCAGCTACTGTCAAGATAAGGTTGTTTTTCCCTCTAGCAAAGCATTAACTTTAAGACTGTGGGGAGTTCCAGGAGAAATGTTATACTTTGCCTGTCTCAAGTATTTGTCAATGGGCTGCAGGTTGTGAGGAGATTTCATTTTATCTACCATTTCTTTCTGCCTTCATTTCCCACATCACTAGCCATTGACCTTTAAAGACATCAGATTCAGAATAGCCAACAGTCCATCATGGGGGAGGACACAAGCTCTCTCCCAGCATTAAACTCATTTTTAGTCCATTTACTTACAGGGGTTGATCATCAGAACTATGAGCCATCAGGCAGTCCTGTGTCGCTACATTTATCTGGAAAATTATGATGGAATATTCAGATCAAGCTTTTACATTCTTCTCTGGAGAATACATTTCCAGAGATTTCTCCAGCATCAGCCATTAGTCATGGTCAAGTTTGTTACTGATAAATAACTTTTATGGAAACTATTATAATGCTAACTAAACATAGTACTATTCAACTATGCCAATAAATAAGTAGATTAGTTATCAATAATTAAATAAATATATTAGCATTATCTCTTGCTCTGAGATGCTCCCTCAGAAATTCCTGACTTCATTCCTTCCCTTGGTCAGGCACTGCTCTCTTATGAACACCCTTTCCATTAGCTACGACCTCTAGTTTCCAGTTAAAGCATATCTTGACACACACCGTTCCCTCAGTGGTCAGCCTTTTTGGTGCTGTTTAACCATAGAAGCAGCTATACTATCATTCTTACACTGCTTGGACCTACTGAAGGATATACACTTGTACATTCTTTAGCCATTAATCCCAGTAGTTCCCGATGTGAAATGTTGGGGTTTGGGAGTGAACGGTCAAGAAAGAATTCTTGAGGTGTCGTTGGGAAAATGAATAAAGTTTTATACCATAAGATGGCCGAGGGGACTAAAACAAGCTCTGGTCTCTAGCTTAGAGACGCCTCTTCTGGGTCCTTCTTGCCCTGTTTGCCACACGCCCGAAAACCCACCACAGATATGGAAGCTGAGGGCTGTAAATTACCCTCCCCCCCTTCATTTGGGACTCAGATCTTTGGAGAAACGGTCTCCTCTGAGCCCACCGGTGTTACATAAATCTCCGATGCACCAAGATCTCTGAGTGCCGTTTGGTTTTTCTGCCGGCGTTCCAGCCTGGTTCCATAACATATTTGGTTCCTTGACCGGGAAACCCAACCGTGCTGGCCCGTTGTTGCCACCAGTTTGGGGGAACAGCTAGGCAGTAACAGAACGAGGAATCGCAAGGGAGAAGGCGCACCCTGCCTGAATTTCCTCAGTCTCCTGCTCGGTCGCCTCAGGCCAGCTCCCGCTCCGCTGCTCCAGCTGGAATTGGCAGGAGACTTGGCAGGTGAGGACCTCGACCCAACGTTGAAACCGGTAAGGCTGGGACCCAATGTAGTCAGGCTCACTTGCAAGAGTGGAAGGGGGACCTGATTACTCCCCAGAGACCTCAGAGGTCTCACAGGGGAATTCTGTGGGAGGGAATGTCATAACCTCTGGTGTGTATGTGAGTGTGAATGTGCAACTCGGTCTGGCTTGCCTGCCAAGTTCGATTCTGTGGCTTCACGGGCGGGCACCCTTAAGGTTCCCCAAAAGCCCACGGGGTCTGAGTGGGCCCAGCTGCGATTCCATGGTGAATGGCATATGGTCTAAGGCAGCATCAGAATAGTTTCCAATCGTAAGCCACAAAGCTGAGAGTGCTACGGCCAATCATCACCTAGGTTCCTTTGGGACTGGTCTCCTCATTAGAGGGGGCACTCCATTCCTCTGTCTTTGTGACTTCTCCTCACAGGAACATTATGGGGTTGGGATGGAGCAAAGAAAGGGTTTTGGGGAGACTACAGAATTAAGATAGTCCCCGGCATGTTAAGGACCCTATGTGAGTTAGAATGGCCCACTTTTGGTGTAAAAGGGCCTCTGAGGGAATCTTAGACGTCCCAATGGTCCGCTGCATCTGGCGTATTGTCTCTGGAGAGACCCAGGTCACCCTGATCAATTTCCATACATCGACTCCTGGCTTGAAATTGCCCAAAGTCCTCTGCCTTGGGTGCGATTCACCCATAGCAAGCAGAGTCAGGCAAAGGTTTTAGCTGCCTATCCGGAGACTTACCCAGGGAACCAAAGAAGCAACCCACTGCTCCTCTAGTGTTTGCAGGAGACCCGGAGGAAGATCCCATCTTTCCGCCACCTTATGACTCACTGGGCTCCCTGCCCCCTGCCCCTGAGCTTAAAACTCCTCCCCGGTCTGTCTCTCCTCTGGCCCATCTCTCCTCTCCTCCAGGACCCGGAGAACCCTCCCCAACAAGGACCAACGGCCAGATTGCGCCCTGGGCTAGGCACAGATGCTCTCCAGATACCGGTCCACATCCGCCAGTATCAAGAGGCTCTCCTCCGGGTAATCAGAGCAGAGGCTGAGAAGCCCATGAATATGCCCAGCAAGGGGATTCCCCCAGGGATTATTATTAGAGGCTATGTGAGGCTTACACACTGTTTGCTCCAGAGGCACAAGAGAGCCACGACAAAAGGATGGGGAAGGTCTAGCCACCAAAAGGGGGGAGGCCCAGAACCTCCTTAGTAAGGGGTCAGTGAACCTACTGCAAGGAGAAAGGAAATTAAAAGAATAGATGTCCCCACCAGGGAAAGTCCCAGAAACCCAGCTGATATCAGGAGGAACCTCAAGAAGGGGATCTGATTGATCTGGCTGAGATCGAATCAGACTGAAGGGGACACTGGCTCTCTCTCCTTGTTCCTCTGCCTAATAGATATGAGGGATTCTCCCTTATTTCCCAGGTTAACAGCTATAATTGGAGCCAACTGTGATTAGTCTACCTTGGGATGGGGACTTTAAGGAATGTTTCCAAGCAGTTGCTGAAACTCCATTTGTTTCAGGGAAATTTCGGGTCTTCTCTGGCCTGATGTGTACTCCATATTTCCACTTTGGTGGAAAACACATGGCGTCTGCTCCTCTGAGTTAAGGTTTTGAATTGGGTTTTCCTTCTCTGCCTTCTACTGGCACCTTGCCTCTTCTGCCTTCCCCTCCCCCTGCTGTTTCTGCACCAACTTGGTGTGGTCTACGTAACTGGTTCCTATACCCTCCTCAGTACTTCAGGTACCATTGGCTCCTCCTCCCATCCTAGGTCTTTTCCAGATAGACATCTAGGTCTTTTCCAAATAGAATGAATTGCTAAAGCTTTGATTACTGAACACAGGTTTGTGTTTTTAACTTCTTACTGCAGAGAAACTAAAGCTATTTGGACCTTTTGGAAAACATGCTTTTTACTTAATTGGTTCATGAATTTACCATCTAAAAAAATTCTGGCGTAGGGGCACCTGGGTGGCTCAGTTGGTTAAGCGTCCGACTTCGGCTCAGGTCACGATCTCACAGTCTGTGAGTTCGAGCCCCGCGTCAGGCTCTGTGCTGACAGCTCAGAGCCTGGAGCCTGCTTCGGATTCTGTGTCTCCCTCTCTCTCTGCCCCTTCCCCACTCATGCTCTGTCTCTGTCTCAAAAATAAATAAAAACATTAAAAAAAAATTCTGGTGTAAACACCTCTCAGTTGGTTACTAAGTCCTCAGTTGGAGACTAAGGTTTCCTAAGAGTTAAAATCCTGCTAAGTGTATTTAAGACTGATGGAAATAAAGAAAGCAACCCCGTATGTAGGGAAGTAGGAGGTATGTAAGAAAGATATAAGGAGTGGAAATACATTTTTGTTGAGGGAAGAAGAAAGTAATTTTATCTTAAATGAGACTGGTTATTTGGAGAGAAATGGCTTTGGGACAAAGTTTGAAGGCCAAGGAAAGTTGTAGAAGGTTCATGAAGGGAAATCTTTGGAAAAGAATCTTATGTGTGCTCAGGATGGACCAAAGTTGGGATGAATGGAATTTTAAAGGTACACTGGTATAAGGTTGAAATTCTGCTTTTCTCTCTGCTCAAATGACAAAGTTTTCTTGGACTGTTGATCTGCTCTTGATAAGACAATGCAAACAAAGGATTGTCTTCCAGGAAAACCAAAGTTTTAGGTTTCATCTTTATCAGGTCTTTGATTACTTAATTAAAACTTCTCAATGTTACAGGAGCTAGGTTTTGGTAACAACTCTATAATGCTATACGTTCACCTTTAGGATCTTTTATTGCCACCTTCGTTGAATAAATAAAATTTTAATATTTGTAATGATGTGTAATCCTATTTAGGATGTACTTATAACTTCCTAAGGTTTTAACAAACTTCCCAGGATTTAAATGGTAACGGAAGTCTTTTTGACCAATTAGGCCCTTTTATTTGGGATGCTAAGTTACTTGGAAAAGCACTGTCGTACAATGGCAAACGTTAGGTTGTTTTGCACAGGTAAATGCTGTAACTGCCCAAATATATATGCAGTTCCTAAAGTTTTAATGTTTTGGTATAAGGTCATCATTTAATATTCTGATTACTTGAAGTGTTACGTGTCACAGAAATAACCAAATTTCTTTGTCAATTGCATCGTAATGAACTCTCATCAGATCTTTAACAAAGTCTATTTCTGAGATTTGGTCATTTATAATTGTTCTTATTCTCTCACAAAACGTGTTTCTTCTTCAAGGAGATTTATAAAAATGATTTTGGGGACAAATACAGGTATTTGACATCTTTAAGATTAATACTAAAATGGGTAAGAATTTCCAACTAAAAAGCTGCATTCAAACTGAACAAGAATTAGGAACATGGGATTAAACCAACTGAGGAAGATTATAGTTTTGTGATTTTTGTTGAAAATATTGCTGGTTCTCTAATGCTTCCTCTTCCAGATTAAGGAAACTTTCTCTTAAGAGATCTATGATATACAGAAATGTCATAAAGCATTCATTTGTAAACTGAAGCATTTATCTTTTCTCTCTACATAACTCCCCTGAAATTCAAAAACTCTCAGTGAGTATTCTTTCTTTCATGGCAATTACAATTGTTTGCATAAGTTCAATAAGAATCTGTTCATCTTGTAACAGATCACCATTGGAAATACTGGTTATTTTACCAAGGCTTTGACTGGAGTATTTGAGAATGACATTCATAAACTCAGCTTTAAGGAACTAAAACAGCTTTAAGGAACAAAGGTTAGCTTTATGAAACATGGAGCCATAAAGGCCCTTGGAAATGTTGATACCTTGCTTCCAGAGTTCCCAGCAGCCTCACCAGGTGAGTAAAGAAGGTCACTTCCTGGCAGGTGCAGGAACCTCAGGGTATCTTGGGGACCTCATGAAGAGGAATTTTCCCAATTCTACAGGTATTGCAGGCCTGTCTGATGGCAAGTATTTGGCTTGGCTTCTGGCCTGGAGAGGCTACTAAAAGTTCAACCCGGAGATTCCTTACAAAAGTTTCCAGCAAAGCAAACTTTAAAAGATCCTCGTGATCAATCGTTATTCTTTTTAAACTTATGTACATAGTTAGGCCAGGTTTCTTAAGACTGGACTTATTCTACAAAAGCATTGGTCTCAATTTGGCTATCTCTGGAAAGGAGGGTTTTTAGAGAAACAACAACAACAACAACAACTATGTTTCAACAATGCACCGTTATGGATGTTAAATTCTAGTTCTAATTGTCTTTAAATGTTTGTTGTTTGCCTAAACTTGGCCACTTGAGGTAAACTTTAGAAAAATTTTCACAGTATTTCATGTATAGACAATCTTCTGTGCTTGCTATTCTGTGGGGATAATAACAACACCCCATGGGCATATGATTATTTAAACAACTGGAAAACAGGATGGATTTCTAAATATGCAAACCATATCTTCCCTAAACCTGATCTGACAGTTACCAGAAACCCGCCCCTTTCAAAGACTTGGAGGTAGACTTTACAGACATACAACCAAATAGAGGACTCAGTTTCAGGCATTACCCCGTGGGTCCATCACTCCAGAGTTAAGAAGGCCAACTCAGAGGAACCCTCAACCTGGCGAAGTGATCCAGATCCAGTCAGCCCACTTAAACTGACCCTCAGAAAGACACTGGCCCCTGAGATCTCCAGCCCTGCTCCAGCCACACCCCGGAAGCTGGCTGGCCTGCGAACGGCAGAAGCTTGAGGAATCAATGTGTGGACTGAGCCCAGAGTTCCAGATACAACTCTGCCAGCCCTTGCCCCTTCCTGGTGTCATAGCCCTGATCTTGCTTCTTGCTGTTGGGCTAATAGAGACTGTACCGACAAACTAGGACACGGAACGAATGGCAGACTCCCGGGTAACCTGACAAAGACAAATAAACTCCCTGGCAGCAGTGTCCCTCAAAAACAGGCGAGCCCTTGACCTCCTCACTTCAGAAAAAAGGAGGGACTTGTATCTTTCTGGGGGAGGAATGTTGCCTTTTGTAAACCAATCAGGAATAGCCAGGACTAAGGTTAAGGAACTCAAGGAAAAAATTCAACGTGGACAACACAAGATATCAGTCAATGGAGAGGATGGGCTCTCACAGATTGGGCATCCTGGCTCCCTGCCCTGGCAAGGCCCTTCCTTTCCATAATTTTACTTGTGACCATCAGCCCCTGTATACTGAATACCCTGGTACATTTTATTGAAAACACTGTTGCTCGCCAAACTGCAGCACCTATCTTAGCCTTCTGAGAGTACCAACCCGTAAAACTGAAAGGTGATGCCTACTAAGTTTTTTTTAAAAGGCATCAAAGAGGGGAATGTTGGAGAAATGAATAAAGTACTATGCCATAGATGGCCAACAGGACTAAAACAAGCTCTGGTCTCTGGCTTAGAGACCCCTCTTCTTGCCCTGTTTGCCGCACGCACTGCCCACACCCCGCCCATGAATATGGAGGCTGACAACTATAAATTACCCTTCCCGCTTAAATTCGGAGCTCAGATCTTTGGAGAAACAGTCTCCTCTGAGCCTGCTGGTGTTAAATAAATCTCCAATCCACCAAGATCTCCCAGTGCCGCTTGGTTTTTCCACCAGCGTTCCAGCCTGGTTCCCTAACAGTATCTTCGTGCAAAAAAGGAGGTTTTATTAAGACATGGGGACAGAACCCATGGGCAGAAAGAGCTGCACTGGGGGTGTGAGGAGTGGCCAATTATATACTTTTAAGCTGGGAGGGGGTTAGCAATAGCTTAAGTCTCTAAGGAATTTGGAAGCTACCTTTCAGGGACCTTGAGGGGGCTAGCTGTTGTTAGAGTTCACTTATTACTGTCTTGTAAAACGT